AGGGAGGTGGGAAGGGGATCGGGATTGGGAACACATGTAACTCCATGGCTGATTAACGTGAATGTATGACAAAAACCACTACAATATTGTAAAGTAATTAGCCTCCAACTAATAAAAATAAATGGGAAAAGAAAAAAAAATTAAAAAAAAAAAAACTTTGTTATTCTCATGGATTTTCACTTTTTATTTCTCATTTTACTCTGAGTCTTCGATTGGAATCTTTTTGATTGGTTTGACTTTAACCTTTGGTTTTATGAAAGAATTATAGAATTTCAGAGCTGAAAGCCTTGCTGAACATCAAAGGGCCAGAGCATCTTATCTTTGAAGCAGTCAGATATTCTCTGACTTGGCCACAGGCTCTGTCCACCCACCCTGAGTTGTCTGGCCTGACAGGGAAGGTTTTAATTCACTTTTCTGCCCCACTGCCCTCAGAGAATTGTTACTTTTTCTATATTCTGCATTAAGAAAACAGACAGAAAAGGAAGGGAAGTAGAATTCAGACTTCCACTATGCCAAGAATTCATATTACTCCTACCAACTTGTCTTTGCTTTGATAAATTTTACCAGGCCGTCCCTAGCAGCAGCTCAAAATTCCCACACAGTTTGGTTTTTGGACCAGTAATACAGGGGAAGGGTGGACCAAGGTGGTCTTAAATCTCCATGTACATGGAATGCACAAAGTTTTATTTACAAATATTATTTGTATAAATATTGTATTCAGTTCAGTTCAGTGGCTCAGTCGTGTCTGCCTCTTTGTGACCCCATGAACCGCAGCACACCAGGCCTCCCTGTCCATCACCAACTCCTGGAGTCCATCCAAACCCATGTCCATTGAGTCTGTGATGCCATCCAACCATCTCATGCTCTGTCGTCCCCTTTTCCTCCTGCCCTCAATCTTTCCCAGCATCAGGGTCTTTTCAAATGAGTCAGATCTTCGCATCAGGTGGCCAGAATATATATACAAATAAACAAAAAGGGCACATATACTTTCTAAAAATGATGTTTTTCAGTTTTACATAAAGTGAGGAAGTATCCACTGTCTTTATAAATTAGTTTTTGGTGTTGTGATTTGGGTGTTCCTGGAGATTATTTAGGTGTGAATACTAAAGCCCTCCAAAAAATATTTTTGGCACCATCACTCACAAAGCAATTTAATTAATTTATTTGAAAACAGTTTGTTTTAATGACCTACTTCTTGCAGTATCAACTATCAAGTCTTGAAAGCTAAGGGTAGTCAGGATTATTTTTTTCAGGAAATATTTGGTTAATAGGAAATTCATCCATCATCCCAATAATCCATAACCTGAGATCCAAGTGCAGATGGACAGACTTCAGCTTATCCAAGAATACCTAAAATCTGAGCAAAATTCACATGGATATGCACTTTTCTGTAGAGATAGTCTATAGTTCCTTAGAAGCATGCTAGATTATACTGGTTCATAGGATGTTTGTAAGGCTGAATATGAGAAAAAAAGAATGTTTTGAAATCTTAACATGACAGAAATGTATTTCTTCCTCACTTAAAATTCCAGGCTGATAAGGTGACATTAAATTCTGAAATGGTCAAAAACGCAGAATAATTTCATCCTTTGTTCTACCATTCTATGATATTTATTTCCAGATGGATCATACATAGATCAGAGTTTGAGCCAATAAAGAGACCTCTTCCCTTTAAAAGTAAACCTGAAAATTGTACCATGTTTTCAATAAATACCTTATTAATTAAAACTTAAAGTCCTCATTTTGGGTTGCATGTATCTAGGCAAATATCAAATGTTCTGTTACCTTAAAGGAGGAAGAGGAGTGGATACTAGGTAGAATCAATAGTCTCTGACATAAACCTAGACTGTTAGTGCTTAGAACGATACTTGGTACATAACAAATGTGTAATAAATAAATGTAGCTCTTTTAACCATGGATTCTTTTAAAGAGCTCTATCTTATCCGGGGTGGAAAGAAAGTAGACACAGAAGAGTCAAGATAATGTGATTTCTAAATTATTCCACGTAGTATTGCCTTTTTCATCTTATATATAATTTATTGAATTCTGCCTTAGTGAGAACGATCTACTACAGTGGGATCCAAAACTGTTCCTGCCACAGTGCTAGGGATGCACTAAACAACTTAATAGCTGACACAATTCCAGAGTGCTAACTTCAGTTTGTGGTGATTGAAAAGCATTCTGTTGGGTGTGAGGCTTCAGCTCTAGATATTCTTTATCTTCTGCTACATGGGAATAAATATTCTAGACTTGCACTAAAGAAATAATGGCTCTACAGAATTATTTTATGCCAACCACATTGTTCTTTTTGATGCAAAAGGTAGGGTTAATATTTTTTAAAAAATTTCTCCAGACCAAAGAAATACCACTTTGTATATCTCAAAGAAGAGATATGGCATATATATGTCAATATTTCTAAACTATCTTAGAAAATTATTATGTAAGTATTATTACCATCATCATTATTGATATTAAAATTATTTCTCCATGAGGAGCTTGATGATTATCTAATCAAGAAGATGGCACATCTTTGGAGATTCTGAATGTCATAAAATCTAAATCCCATAACTAATCAGATCCATTACTTTATAAACTATAATACCATATGTTTGACAAAAATAACATTACTATTTCCCTTATTTAGTATTTGTTGTTGTTGTCCAGTTGCTCAGTTGTGTCCGACTCTTTGTGACCCCATGGCCTGCAACACACCAGGCTTCCCTGTCCATCACCAACTCTCAGAGCTTGCTCAAACTCATGTTCATTGAGTCAGTGATGCCATCCAACCATCTCATCCTCTGTTGTCCCCTTCTCCTCCTGCCTTCAATCTTTCCGAGTATCATGGTCTTTTCTAATGAGTTGGCTCTTCACATCAAGTGGCCAAAGTATTGGAGCTTCAATTTCAGCATCAGTCCTTCCAATGAATGTTCAGGGTTGATTTCCTTTAGGGTTGACTGGTTTGATCTCCTTGCTGTCCATGGGACTTGCAAGAGTCTTCTCCAAAACCACATTTCAAAAGCATCAATTTTTTGGCATTCAGCCTTATTTATGGTACAACTCTCACATACATATATGACTACTGAAAAAACCATAGCTTTGAATAGACAGTCCTTTGTTGGCAAAGTAATGTCTCTGCTTTTTAATACACTGTCTAGGTTTATCCTAGCTTTTCTTCCAAGGAGCAAGCGTCTTTTAATTTCATGGCTGAAGTCACCATCTGCAGTGATTTTGGAGCCCAAGAAAATAAAGTCTGTCACTGTTTCCATTGTTTCCCCATCTCTTTACCATGAAGTGGTGGGACTGGATGCCATGATCTTAGTTTTTTGGATGTTGAGTTATTTAGTATACTGAGAATTAAATATGATTTATTATTCTCAATAATTATGAAAAACAATTCACAATGACTATAATTTGATATTTGTTAGGGATTTTATCAAAGGCATTCAAGTATTACATTGGGAACTAGAATAGGTGAATTTTACTGCTCTTTTCAGCTCCAAAAGCTCATTGTTATTTTATCAATTATGAGACCTAGATTCTAATTCCTCTCCTAATTGTGCAATTATAGGTAAGTCATCCAAATTTCCAATTCCATAAGGCCAAATGATCCACTTCAAAAAATCTAAGATGTATAATCTAAATTTAGCCATTAAGAGTATTAATTTGGGGGAAAAATCTTTAAAAGAACATATTGATGGAAACTTTGTAATTTTTGTTGCAAATAAAGAAATATATTTTAAAATAAATTAATAAAATAGGTGGCAGGAAGATTTCTTAGGAAGCAATGGAAGTATTTATCTTTGAAAATATTTCATGACCAGGTTCAGGGGATAATATAACTGGTAACCCTTGGCATATGTCCACCTTTGTGCTTGCAATAGAGTTGCTGTTCTATAACCAGAGAAGAAGAGAGAGTATTAGATGCTTTGGCCTGTAGGTGGCCTTCATATTCACATGGAATTCTCTCTATATACATGTTTATGTCCCAATATTTCCTTTTTATAACACCAGTTATATTGGATTAAGCTTCAACCAAATGACCTAACTTCATCATCTCTTTAAAGATCCTATCTCCAAATTATTATCCTATCTCCAAAAAAAAAAAAAAAATCCTATCTCCAAATTATTGGGGGTTAAGTCTTCAACAAAAGACTTTCTGAGAGTTATGATTCAACCCATAACTAGAATAGGTCCATATTTAGAACTTTATTTAAAGATACATAAAGATCACATCTCTTCAGTAATTCATTTTGCTTTTACCTTCCCTATGTTAGTAGAAAATATACGATCTCTTTTAGTGTAGCTTCCTCCCTTGAGTTACATTGTTTAATAATCCCACAATTTATTCAGTCATGGGAGCCAGTCTGCTGGAAAATATTCAGTGCAAGGAACTTAAAGGTTTTGATCAGTGTAGCAGCACTTTTTGCCCTGCTGCCTTTGTTCTTTCACTGACAGCTGATGTCACTGTTGTAAGACCCCAGATGGTAAGGATGTTCTCAGTCACCCACTGCCCCAGGGGCTCCTCCACTGGTCAGACAGGAGTTTCTAAAGTTATAAGATGGGAAAGAAAGGGTTTCTACAACATATTATGCTTGGCAGTCATGGCCGTATGGACAGCTGGGGCTGTCAAGCTGACTGTGCTTGAACAACCCAGGCGGATGTAGATCCCTTCACAGTCTGTAGTGACTCTTGGTTGGAGAACAGCCAGAATCAGTCTGCCTTGTGGCCTCCAGAATGGCTGGTTTTTATTTGACCTGCTATGCTGAGTGACCATTCCCAGAGTACTCCCTCTGGACCAAAGTAGTTGGGATGTCAGGGGTGGGAGTAGAAGGTTTTCAGCCTTATGCACACATTGTTTTCTTTCTGACACCCCTTTTCTCCATAGACACTCAGTCTTGGAAGTGAGCCTGATTCACTTGCCTGGACAATTTCCGAGTGAGTAGCCCTTGGATGACCTTGATTTCCTTTCCGCCAGCATGCCCAACGTGGCTGATTTCAAGCCATGAGACTAGAGAAATTTTAATAAAACTGAGCCTAAGGAAGCAGAGGGATCGAGTATAAGCTCTAGCTTATGTTTTTCTCTCTGAGGCTCCTTGCCTCTATGTAGATATATTTTGACCCATTTACCAGTGATATGAAGTAGATGTTATTAGGTAAACCACAGCTTACCAGTAATGGTTTAGTCCACCTTTTTTAGCTAGAGTGATTTTCCCTTTTGTGATCTTAGCTAGAAGAGAAATTTTAAGCAATTATTCCTATAGCAACAATGACATCAGAAAGGTCCACTCTGTCAAAATAAATTTTTTTAAGTTAAAAAATAGTGATTCTTTTACAAGTATCTATCTATCTCTATATATATATCAAAATATATATCATTGCACATGTAACATGTACTTTATATGTATACATATATATTCATTTTATGTATAATGCAAAAATAATCATGATTAGAAGTCAAGTGGTGGCTATTATTTTGTATGTAAACTGTTTGTAGGGGCTTCTCCGATGATTGCCGCAGTCTGCATCCTGATTTGAGTGCTGGTTACGTTGGGTGAGTTCAATTTTTGAAAATTAATTGAACTGACACTTATTCTTAACATCCCTCCCCCCCCCAAAAAAAGAAAATTTGTGGGACACATTTATTTATTAAGCTATAAGATAAATGTGTGAATGCATTTGCTAAGTTAGATTAAAAAAAACTGGCTGATATCCTACATGTAAATAATACTATAATGTTTAGGGTCATCTTTTCTATTGGACAACAGTTATTTTATATTTACACGGACTAAAATGTTTTCAATTTAGGAAATTTCTGAAGGTTAAAAAGTTTGCAACTCTATTTTACAGTATTTTACAGAATCTATGAACAGATCCCTGGGTGCCCAGTCACCCAGTCATGTCCTTTGTACTTTGCGATCCTTTGTACTATAGCCCTCCAGGCTCCTCTGTCCATGGGATTTCCCAGGCAAGCCTGGGAAAGTAGAATACTTGCCAAGGAAATGGAGTGGATTGCCATTTCATTTTCCATAACAGTTCCCTAATCAATAGTAAATAGTAAGTCAAATATACATTCACCTAGGAAATAAGATAATCATGGGTTTTGTGTCTAATTTAGCAAACTTATTTCTGCATTCTTTTCCTTACTGACTATACATCTTTACTTCTCAAATACTCTTTGAATTCTTGGCTCTGTCTGTTAGACAATGTGACATTTAAAAATATGAAATAATATTTTTGTGCTATTTCCATATTTTGAATAATTTTATCTTAATTACTCTAAAATTTTATTCTGCATAAATAATAGCTTTTGGAAGGAAATTGATGTTTAAAATGGCAAATTCTCTCACTTAAATATAATTTTAAAAATTTTATATTACCAGTCACCCAGATATATGTTAATTATTATTAATAAAATAAATCAAGGCCTTAAACTTTCTCAGTATCTACAAGTATCTACAAGTTTAATGAACAACAAAAAATTAACAGATTCCTTGAAAACATTTGTTGAACATAAAAAATATGCCTATTTATCATGAGAGGAGATTAATCCTCAAAACAGTTTGGCAAGGTTGGTATTAATTTGTCACTAATTCACCAAAATATGTAAGTAATTGGTCCAAGATCACTTGACTTATAAGTAGTGGATTGAAATCATAAGCCCTCAATCTTTTTCCAATATCATCTCAGAGATGACTTCTCAACAATTTGCAAGGGGCTTGTTGGAAGAGTGAAATTTAATGAGGTGATTATCAAGAGTTTAGCCTAAAAGCTCTAATAGGATAAAAGCAATTTTGTTTGAAATGGCTAAGTGAGCATTAAAGAATGTCAACTATTCTAATTCCACATAATGAAAAACCAATGTCAACTTCTTTTCTGTCTCACACTGGGTGTCAGATATGATAAATGTGGAAAAAGGAGGGCAGAAGGTGATGTCGTTAGCGTTAGAACTAAACTCATTGCTACTGGCTTGAACTGATGATTTTTAAAAACCCAGGAAAGAGACTGTTAGCAAGAGGAATACAACATGAAAGTGTAGACTGAGTCTGGAGTTCTAGATTCTAATTGTACCCTACCACCAAATCTCTGTGGCCTGATGAGCTTGATGGTCCTCTCTGAGTTCAGTTCCTTTCTGTGTAAATTAAAATAGTTGAGCTAGGTGGTCTCCAAGGCCCATTTTCGCTTTAATATCCCTTGAACCCATTAAGGAGTCAATAATAGAAGACAAACAATATTTACATAGAAGCATCACTTTCTTGCTTAAAAGTTTTCGATGACTCCCCATTACAATATAGCATTGTAGTTTAAAAATTCTTTAATTTGTCTCTATCCCAATTTTCTTACTTGGGTTGTTGTGAGGATTTAACTAAGATTCAATTCGGTTCAGTTCAGTCATATCCAACTCTTTGCAACCCCATGGACTGCAGCATGCCAGGCTTCCCTGTCTATCACCAACCCCCAGAGTTTGCTCAAACTCATATCCATTGAGCCGGTGATGCCATCCAGCCATCTTATCTTCTGTCGTCCCCTTCTCCTCCTGCCTTCAATCTTTCCCAGCATCAGGGTCTTTTCCAGTGGGTCAGTTCTTTGCATCAGGTGGCCAAAGTATTGGAGCTTCAGCTTCAGCATCAGTCCTTCCAATCGATATTGAGGGTTGATCTCCTTTAGGATTGATTGGTTTGATCTCCTTGCTGTCTGAGGGACTCTCAAGAGGTTTCTCCAATACCACATTTCAAAAGCATCAATTTGTTGGTGCTCAGCTTTCTTTATGGTCCAACTCTCACATCCATAAATGACTACTCTAGAAAACATAGCTCTGACTGCACAGACCTTTGTTGGCAAAGTAATGTCTTTACTTTTTAATATGTTGTGTCAATTTGTCATAGCTTTTCTTCCAAGGAGCAAGTGTCTTTTAATCTCATGGCTGCAGTTCCCATCTGCAGTGATTTTGGAGCCCACGAAAATAAAATCTGTCACTGTTTCCACTGTTTCCCCAACTATTTGCCATGAAGGATGGGGCTGGATGCTATGATCATAGTTTTTTGAAAGTTGAGTTTTAAGTCATCTGCACATCTGAGGTTATTTATATTTCTCCTGGAAATCTTGATTCCAACTTGTGTTTCATCCAACCCAGTATTTTGCATTATGTACTCTGCATATAAGTTAAATAAGCAAGGTGACAATATACAGCCTTGACATACTCCTTTCCCAATTTGGAAACAGTCCATTGTTCCACGTCTGGTTCTAAACTTGCTTCTTGACTTGTGTACAGGTTTCTCAGGAGGCAGGTAAGGTGGCGTGGTATTCCCATCTCTTTAAGAATTTTTCAGTTTGTTGTGATCCACACAGTGAAAGGCTTTAGCATAGTCAATTAAGTATGTTAAAAATACCACAGTGTTCAGAAAATGGTAAACATTCAATAAATACTGGCTACTACTCTTGACTATAGGCTTAATTAATTTTTTCACCTGACTCACCTAACAGCCTTTAATCTGCATTTTATCCACCTCATTAGCATTGTCTCTCACCATTCTCTGTCTTACTCATCATGCTGAAAGAAGGAAGAGTCTATTTTTCAAGGATCAGTTGCAGGGTAAAGAGTTCTAAATGAGTAATTTTTGTCCCTCAACACTTTATTCACTCTATTTTCTTCTTGCTTGCTTAGTTTCTGAGAAGTTGGATATAATTGTCTTTTTTTTCTGGCTTCTTTAGGGATTTCTTTTCATCTGTGATTTTTCTGCAATTTAAATATGACATGTAGAGATGAATTTTTTCAGCATTTATCCTACTTTATGTTCTCTGAGTTCCTGGATCTGTGATTTGATGTCTGATATTACGCTGGGGAAATTCTCAGTCATTACTGCCTCAAATATTTTTAATATTCCTCTTTAGCTTTCTTCTCTTTCTGATATTCCCCATTACAAGTATGTTGCACCTTTATTTATTTGGCTGAGCTGGATCTTAACTATAAGACGTGGGCTCTAGTTCCGTTAGGGGTTGAACCTGGGTCCCCTGCATTGGGGGCATAGAGTCTTAGCCCCTGGACCACCAGCGAGGTCTCTGTTGCATCTTTTATAAATGCCCCACATTTCTGGTTATTCTGGGTTTGTTTCTTTTTTCAGCCTTCTTTTCTCTTTGCTTTTCAGTTTGGGCAATTTCTGTTTAGATGTCCTCAGACTCAGAGATTCTTTCTTCAGGGGTCCACTGTGTTAGTCCGCCCATTAAAGACGTTATTCCGTCCATTTCCATTTCTAGCATGTCTTTTTTATTATTACTTAGAATTTCCATCTCTCTGCTTACATTACCCCACCTATTCTTTTCTTTAAAATTTAATTGGAGGATAACTGCTTTGCAGTGTCGTCTTGGTTTCTGCCTTCAACAACATGAATCAGCCATAAGGATACATATGTTCTCTCCCTCTGAAACCTCCCTCCCACTTCCCATCCCATCCCACCCCTCTAGGTTATCATAGAGGACCAGGTTGAGCTCCCTGTGAAATATAGCAATTTCCCATTAGCTATCTATTTCACAAACCCCATCTCTTCTTGTACACTGTCTACTTTATTGGAGTTCTTATATTAATCATAGTTGTTTTGAATTTTCACAGTCTGATAATTCTAACATACCAGCTGTATCAGAATCTGGCTGTGTTGCTTACTTGGTCTCTTAAAATTAAAACTGTATTTTCCACCCTTTTGTATGTTTTCTAATTTTTTCTAGGTACCTGGATGCAATGTATTGGGCTGCTGCTGCTGAGTCACTTCAGTCGTGTCTGACCCTGTGCGACCCCATAGACGGCAGCCCACCAGGCTCCCCCGTCCCTGGGATTCTCCAGGCAAGAACACTGGAGTGGGTTGCCATTTCCTTCTCCAATGCATGAAAGTGAAAAGTGAAAGTGAAGTCGCTCAGTCGTGTCCGACTCGTAGCGGCCCCATGGACTGCAGCCCACCAGGCTCCTCCGTCCATGGGATTTTCCAGGCAAGAGTACTGGCGTGGGGTGCCGTTGCCTTCTCCCGTGTAGTGATGTGGTGATAGACTGAATGGACATGAATTTGAGCAAACTCTGCTAGGTAGTGAAGGACAGAGGAGCTTGGCGTGCTTCAGTCTATGGGGTCCCAAAGAATCGGACATGACTTAGTGCCTGAACAACAACAATGTGGGGATGAGGTGTCAGGGATGGGAGTCATTCTAGGGCCCTATGACCAGATCTTGATCTTTTCATGAGTCTGGGCCTCTGGAGTGTTGACTTTACAAGCGCTTCTGAGTTCCCCCTGCCCTCAGGTGGAAAAAGATTGCCAAAGTGGGTCGAAAGTGGGTATTTCCTGTCTCCCACATGGAAGACTAGAATGTCCTTCCTGTGGAAGGTAGAACTGGCTGGAGTTGGATATTTCTTTTTTTCCAGGTCTGTTAGGCTCCGCTCTGGGGAAAACCCCAGCATGTTAGTCTTTAGTTAAATAGGTTCTCTTAGGGGAGAAGGGGACGACAGAGGATGAGATGGTTGGATGGCATCACTGACTCAATGGACATGAGTTTGGGTGAACTCCAGGAGTTGCT